CAGATCTTCACAGTTCGGACCTCTAACAATTAACCCTAACCGTCTCCATTAATCTTCTCGGGGTGTCATTAATTTGCAGCATTTGAATTCTTAGTTAACAAACTGGTAGTTGGAAATCCTTGCCGCTTTAAAGATGCAATAGGCATAAATCAATGTCATTTTAGCATCCTTTGTGACGAAATCAAAAGGTCCGGATTCCACGAACATACCAGACAACAAAAAAATAGGCATTGAAAGGCATTGAAGAAAGCATAGACATTTTTCTGCATACAATAAAAGGTCATCAAAGGAAGCGATGTGCGGCTGAGACATTCAGACACTCAGGGAGACAATTAGTCGTCATTGTCACAAAGTCATCAATGCTCTATGTTATCTAGCCCCCGACTACATTTGTCCCCCATACTTCAACCGTGTTGTACCATGGATAAGAAATAATCGGAACTTATATCCCTACTTCAAGGTAAATATATCACTATATTTAGTGTGTCCTATACCGTATATTTTTACAAAATTACTTGTATAATTGAAATTGTAATTTCTAATGTTAGGATTGCATTGGCGCCATTGACAGCACTATTATACCAGCGTGGGTGCCCGAAGGACAGCAGGGTTCGTACAGATGTAGGAAAGGTTATTTAGCCCAAAATGTAATGTTGGCGTGTGATTTTGACTTGAGGTTCACTTTCGTCCTAGCGGGCTGGGAAGGCATTGCAAACGACGCACGTATTTTTAATTGCACTATGTCGGACCCCAGATATGATATCCCCTTTTCACCACCCGGTAATTCGATCATGACATAATTCATATGTTATTGTTTATCTTAATTAAATCAAAATCTATTTTATCATTTTTTTTCAGAGCTCCCGCAACTTCACAACATATGCTCATGCAAGTAAATTCTATGTGGTGGACTCCGGATACGCAAACATCCCAGGTTTCATGATACCATATCATGGTGAAAGATATCGTCTTTCAGAGTAATTGGGGTCTAGCCAGTTGCCCGACAATACTTGTGAGTTGTTTAACAGACGACATGCCACTGTCCATAGTGTTATCGAACGCAACTTTGGTTTGCTAAAAGGGAAGTTTCCCATCATAAAGGGGTTGATGCTAAACTACAAAGTTCACTCCCAAACCGACATAGTAATAGCATGTTGTGTTCTACACAATTTTATTCGGATGTATGAACTGCTCGAAAACATGTCTTCTGAATTCAGGAACCCAGAATACGTACGACGACATGATCCTGATGATCGTACTAGACCTTTTTGTCCAACAATAATAACTCGAACCCCAGCGTTGGTGAGCATTGTGTGTTGCATGACACGATAGCCCAAGCCTTGTGGACGAACACAACATAGAACATCGTTTGTATTAATGAAACCTGGATAGACCAACGCTTGTATTAATGAAACCCAAAATGATATTTGGGCCTACAATAGTATCGGTGTTTATTTTATATCTAATTTTGTATGTTGTTCTTCTATAATTTTCAATACATAACCCTAAAAATATATGATCTTTTTTTAGTATAATAGATAATTATATATAATGTTATTATTCCAGTTATATTTGTAGCGTTTTTCGCAAATAATAGTTGAAGTTGTACGAATGGCCATTTACACTAAAAAACAGAAAATAATATTACATATATATACTAAAATATGCCAACAAAGTTAATTGTAATTATATTAGTAAAATTATGTATGTATAAAACTGAGATAGCTTGAAACTTATATATTTGATTTGGTTTTTTTTTTTGAAAAAAATAAAACCGATTATATTCATACTAGTGCAATGGCCGTGAAGTACTACACGATTGCTTCAAGAAAATAAATTAATAGTTGGCATGCTGGAGTGAAAAAGACTTTTTCCTACGTCTGTTCGCAAAAACCAAAAATTGGACTTGCTTTATCAGATTTTGATTCCCGGCTTGTAGGCATGTGATACAACTTGAGCTAAATTTTGGCATGTTCCGTGAAAAAAAATTGCGAAAAACCCATTTTTTCTTTCCAAATCTAATTTTTCATTGTTTTCATAAATAAATTTCGTACAATTGTTTCATGAACAATTTCATTCACGAGCCTGACAAGATGCAACTCAACGTGACCTTCATATCACATATTACATTGTTCTAAATTAGAATTACAACTCAATAATAAGAAAAATACAAGCTCAACCATTTTCTACGACACACAATCTCCCACGATCATACGCTCAAGCATCCACTAGTCTTACTTTGAAAAGAACACACTCATATCTAATTGAGGTGAAAACGCAAGTCACACCCTCGACGATTCCACTTCGGTCCATGAATTCACGCGAATCACCATGTTCCATCAATGCCTTCCCATGCGCTTTGATTATTGGAATATTGTATCGACCTCCTTTACACATCAAGATTGCTCTGCTAGTATCCGAAATTTGGTCTTCGATGTGCTCCCTCCAAAAACTTATAGGAATGCCCTGCAATAGCACCGACAAGGAAAACGACATTTTTTTTCGGTGTATGTTTAATATTTTTTAGGTCAAACGTGAAACATACCAAATGTGCCCGTTACAAGTTATATCCACAAGGAAGCGATATTGCGGTGGTCGTTCAACAGAATTACAAGTGAACACTTTCACTACAAATTTGTACAGACTGTTGCGGTCGAAATACAAAATGTAGCCCCTGCAAAATATCCTCCGCTCGTACGAAATCTTCCCACCCATCATCGAATTGCAATTGATTTCCCCATTCTACCAACTAAACTTCATAAGCACGGTTCTCCCTAGTAACTATTGTACAATTTACCGTGACAAGATTTGTATACTGATGGTGGATTGACTCGGGCAATGCCTGTATGCAAACCACATGCATTTTGTTGGACGACTTTATATTGATTTTAACAATTATATATATAACTAAAATAAACAGGTTTGTACGATGGGGCTATTCATACCAAGGGCTGCTTGCATCTGTAATAATTGTTATGAACGGGTCAAACCTATTTTCCATTCCAATGTGGTTGAAAAAATAAAAAAATGATTGGTGGTAATAAGAACCATTCATTATTAATAAGACCGTTGAAAATAATTTCGCAAATAGAGTAATAACAATATATATTGTCTGAGTTTATATTTCATGTATTCATTCTCGTTCCAAATTTCAACTGCAATCGGAATAAAAATTACAATAAATATTAAATCGCATGAATGTCGTTTTTATTTTAGTAGCAGAAAAGATGGTAGTATACCAAATAACATGATCGAAAAATTGATTAGTCGTGACCATTATGTACATCATCACGTTAGTATACCAAATAACATGATCGAAAAATTACAGTACATTCATATGATTAATTTTATATGGGTAACTCAATGAAATTCACGGATATGAATAAATTTTCATCCACAAAAAAATCTTCATAATGAGTTGCCGTACCTTGTAATTTGTCTTTTAAATACAAACACAAGAAGAATTAAATCTACCTCAATGCTCAGCTACAACTATCGGTGTAGTAAGGTTGGTGCTAGAAGACGTGCGCGGACGATTTACAGGGTGGAAGGGGAGATATATTTTTTAATATTGTTAATTTCGGGCCCACACATTTCACAAGTTACAAAAATAATTTCACCCGAAACAAGCAACCCTCTTTATTACAAAACAAAAACGTTCCATTACAAAAAAGGTTGACTTGTAAAAATGAAAGAAATTTAATAATATGAAATAAATTGAAAAAAATTAAATAAATCTAATAATATGTTATTTATTGAAAAAAAATGTGCGCTTTCAATTTTTTATCGACAAATTTGATTCAATATGGTTCCATATAATAATTGTAATATATATTAGACACAATACAAGTATATATTTCATATATGTATCAGTACTAACCTGCAATGTTTGAGCTTTGGTTGCATTGTTATTTAAATTATCGAGTACGTATGTACAATACAATTACAAATTTTAATAAAAAAATATTTATTTCTTAACGATCTATCTTATTTATTTTGATGGAAATTATACATATGAATTTATCAAATAAGATTAATATCTTACGTAAAATAAAATGGGAATAACATTAATAAAGTGGTAGAATCACGTCATCATTTTTTTAAAATCATTACAAACGTTTTACTTTATTAAATAAAATTATGCACATTAATTTGGACGTTACCCAAAAATAATACCCTATTGTTTTATCACATGCGAATATTTTCCATTTTGGCATATATGATACAGTAATCTTTTTCAATAAAATTTATTTTACTGGAGATGAAAAGGGTCAATATTTGGGTGTGGTTCTTTCTTACAATAAAATATGAACCGATACCACCACCCCGCTTTATTACAAAATATGAATCTGTGATTGTAAATAGAAATTGGTCCATGAGATTTTCACCATGTTCTATAAAAACATGTATATTATATATACTGCATGGTAATTGCAAACCTGTGATTGTAAATTGAAATTGGTCCATAGAATTTTCGCCATTTTCCTACTGGATTTAATATAATATTGCTTTGTAAATAAGTGTTATTATAATTTTAAAAAGTAAAACATGTATATACTTGTTATTTTAAATTTATCCATAATTGTGCACTATACAATTAAACAAAAAATAATTGTTAATGATCTTTCTTATTTACTTTTGGCCACAAAAATACCCATAATAGTTCAAATGAAGACCACGTAATATGCTTTTCAAAAGTATGGCCTATTTGTTTGTCATGACAAAAACAGAAAAATTTCCACAACGAATGTGACAACACAATTTTATAAACTAACCTACAAATTTTATGATATGCGACTAATTTTCATTATGGAGTACATTATCAAGACCATTTGACCAAACAAATTTTATTAATGCTGACAAATGGGTGAAAATTAAAATTGGGGTTGGCAACGCAAAGTCCAATTCTGAAACGCAACTTACGAGGACTGACTACCATTATCGAGACCATTTGACCAAACAAACACAAATACAAAGTGCAAAGAAAGGCGGTGGAATCGATGATTGACCGACCGTTTTGGTGGAAAAGTGAAGGAAAAAAACTTTGTTTGCAAGAACAAAGCCGGGCGGTTTCCAACACATATCCCATTCCCCCAGAGCCAACCTTAATTGCTTCTTCGTCCACAGATCCTCTCTACTCCACCCTTTGTACCCCACAGTCGAAGCGAAGAAGAAGACGGACTCCTTGTCCTAAGAGGTACGCCCGGAAAATTGCCACTTATGTTTTTTTTTTTTGGGTGTGTATTATTCGTAACTAATGATTCTAATGTAGGGTTATGTTGGTTTAAGCTTAAATTGAGGAGAAAAGCGATTTTTTTATTATCGGTATTTTTTAATAGATTTTATTTGGGATTACATTATTGTCGTCGCTAATTATTGTAGTTTGTTGAGGTTGCCGATGTTTAATTGTGTTCATTATTATTGTTGTTGGATTGTACTGAGTACCGTAGTTCATATTCTTCGTCATACATTCCCCCCCCTCCCCCCTTCCCCCCAATTTTGTATGTGTGTTGTCCTTTGTCGTTACCTATGTTATGTCCAGGAAGTCCATCTGTTCATATTAAAGTTTACCTTATATGCTCTAAAGTTGGACATTTTTACCTTAACGACTTCACACTATCAACGTAGATAACACGTAAGATAACATATCTGAGAACTTTGAGAGGTTTTTCAAGTACATTGTCAATCCGGAGAAAGGACATTGGTATGTTTGCGTAATACGAATCATCGTGTTGATGTTTCATTTTGTGGACAAATATTTGGTATATTATCACATAAATCGTCAATTGGACTTTTTTTTATGTGCAACGCAGAAGCTTTCGGACGCTCTGAACCATCAATATAATCACCTTATACCTGTTGAGTGCACCCTTACCACCAGAGAGGGACGGAGGTATAACGTCACAATGAGAGGTAATATTTTTTGGGTGGTTTTTTATGAAAGGCGGCGAGACATTGTGCGTTATGAGGACATTATGACCGACAATTGTCTGTGGTTCGACCGCACATCCTTAACGGATTTTGTAGTAACTGTCTTCACGGACAATCAAGTTGAACGGGATCTTCGACACCATTTTACGCTGCAGATAAAAAAACCCATGTGGAACGTGCGCGCTTGGTAGTTGTGTATCTCTCCGTTTAAACTATGTTATTTTTAATTTATTTTTAAGCGCATACATAATTAAAACTACCTGCTATTGCAGTCTATTCCGATTACTTTTTGGCGGTCTTACGTTTTAGCCGAGCCGACCAACTTAACTAGAATAATTTTGGACTTTGAGGAGAGTAGATATGAATTACAAATAGTTGAAGGACATGGAAAAGTGTTGATGCAAAATTGGGATGCTCAGGAATTTGTGGATGATACTGAAATGGTTTAAGGCTCTACATGATGCTTCACATTAATACCATATAGTTGTGTTCATTTCGAGGTTCCGTTGGTGTAATTTGTGTTTCTAGGTAAATATTTGTTGAGGGTGAACTCGTATTTTGTCGTGTAACAAAATTATGTGATGGTGTTTGAGGACATGTAGTAATCATGGGTGAGAGTCATGAATACTCTCCTATTTTGTTATAATTCATGTTATTATTGTTCAGGTTCATTATTGCAATTGTGTACTACAACCAAAATAACACAAATTGAGTAGGCTATGTTTATAAATCATATTAATATAAAAGAAATTGTTGTCCTTCTATATATAGAAAAAAAATGAAAATATATTAGGTTCGGTACAAAATGAGGCACATTGTTTAAAACATTATTTTACAAACCAAATAATAGCCCCAAAAATATAGTGGCCCACGTATAGGATTTGTCCAGCCATGCAATAGTCTTGCCAATCACACATGCTATTCTCCACTTATAAATACGCTCATGATAAGTGGGCTTTTGCCAACTTCAATCACTGAATTGAAGAAATATAACAAAATCATGAATTTTGCCACAAATAAACACAATGGCTAAACACTTTGAATTTAAACGCGAAGGTTTTTCAAACAAATGGAATGCGCGCAACGAAGAGCGCTAATGTATGATACTACAACGTTTTATTTGATCGGAGGCCATGTCACACGAGTCACAGATCGAGCAAGCATTCAACCGATTGTACAATATGTGCCTCATAGAAATTTCTCCCAACCTCAGTTTCACGGAATGCTATGTCACTTTCAAGGTATTGAAGGACAGGTACCGTACATTTAGGTTTTTGCTAGACTAAGACGATGTTGTTTGCGACGTAACCTTGAACAAGGTCTATCTTGATGACTACCAAAGGAAAACTACGAACCATGTAAGAAGCTTATTTTTATTGAAATACGTGCTTCATGTAAAAACAACGTATGACTTCTCTTCAAATTTTATTTGTAGCCGTTGTAAATTTTGTGTGTTCCAGCATTGGCCGCTAGCAGAACATTATGTTCGTAGTCGAGAGCCTATATGGGATACTTAGAAGATAACATTTCCAGATAGGGACATGTTGATCGTTCGAATGATAAGCACAAATGCGAATTTGATAGGCTATATGTGACTTGACTGTATGAAATCGAAGATTGACTCCAAATATCTTATGAGGTCCTTCCTCTAGCACCAAACTGTTGTTATCCGATATTTAACAACGATTATAACATGTAGTTAAGAAATAAAATGTGAGAATTTTGTATTAAATGTGGATGATTAAGCGTTTATAGGAAGTCGATTTTGTTCTGAATCGAGATGTTTTTCCATGAGCGTATCGAATGCTTGAAAAAGGCTCGTACTACAATAAATTTTGCTATTTATAGTAAATTTCACGGTCCAATGCACGAGGTTGGTGTGGCCGCATTTAATGCAAAGTGGCTTTATGGAGGCGGTTGTCAGCAAGTGAGCCCACATTAATGGTTGCAATTTGTGTGGTCAAGGTTCAGTTCCCGTAGGCGCCACGTCACTTGCTTTGGGTTGTGGTCTCCTCGAACCTCGGTCTGTGGGAAGAATCTCGATAAGTCGGTTGTTATTCCGAGTGTGAAGTCGGTCCTTTATTCGAATTTTACCAAGTTGTGTCAAGTTATACTTATCGACTGGTTTAAACAATAATCTTCGAATAAAATTTATAAATCTTCATTCTAAACCCGACTAACCAGGTCGGTTGTCAACAAAGTTATATGGCCCAAGTCCCATTTTATTTTATTTGGCCCAATACAAAATACTCCATAGCATTTAATTATTAGGCCCAATCCTATTTAGCCCAACAAGAAATTTAGACTTGGTGATCAAGTCTTAGGTGGGAAAGCATTTAATGCTCCCCACCTACCAAGCCACCAAACCCTAATTTTCCTAAGCCTATATATGTGTGTTAACTCTTAGCCTATTTTCTCTTCTTCACTCTCCCAACACCACTTCAAACCCTAAAATATTCTAAGTCTAAAATTCCCAAGCTAAGCCTTCAAGCAATTAAATAATTGGCCCTCATAACCGAGCCCTAGCCTAGACCCGTGCTCGTCCAAGCCCCTCACCTAAGCCCTTGGTCCGGCCCGTGACACGAGCCTCCCTCGGATCAGCCCCAGCTCGCCAGGCCCAGTCCCAGGTCCATGCACGACCTTGTCCGCGCCGTCCCAGCCACCTCCCAACGTTTCCGCGCGCCCCAGCACGGTCAGGTCCTAGCGCCGCGCGTCCAGCCAGTCCCGCGCCCGCAGCCTCCAGCAGATTCACGCGCGCCAGCTCCAGCGTCCCTGCCAACTCCCAGTGCGTACGCCGCATTAGGACGTGCACCCTCGCAATCCCTCGCGTCCAGATCCGCTCCTGCGGGCCAGATCCGAGCCCCTTTGCATCGTGGCAGCCCTAGCCTTGTTTTATTTTCTTTTTTGATTCCTTCAAGAGGTAGATATGAAAACACTTCCTCTTATGGCTTATACATCAATTATAAAGTATTTTAAAAATTTTAAATCATGAAAAATGCTCAGGAATGAATAGATCTAGATTTTATAAGTTTAGATCTGATAAAATCGTGATACCAACTCCATAAATCTTATAAATTGTGTAGTTGCTGAGGTAAAAGTTTGAGAATTTTTGGAGTTAAGTTGCCTTATGAACTAGAACTCTAGATCTAGATTTAAATGAGCTATTTTAGGAACTCTGAGTTAGAGACTTGCTACTGCTGTGATGTTTTACCCAAAATATCTTAAATGTTGTTATGAGGCTGAGGTAAAAGTTTGAGAATTTTTGGGATATGTTTGTTATGTGAAATAAAATTTTGGATTTATTTTAAATTAGCTATTTGTGTTGGAGATGAGATATTGCTGAGATCTTTTGTGAAAAATTCTTAAATAATGTTATGAGGCCGAGGTTCAATTTTGGGAATTTTTGGAGCATGTTTGATATGTGAACAAAAAAATGTAGATCTAGAGTTAAATTAGCAAATTTGTGAAATTTGAGTTACAAATGCTTTCTTGCTGAGATCTTTTGCCAAAGACTCTTAAATATCATGATGAAATTATGGTTATAATTTGATTATTTTTGGAAGTCATTAGATAAGGTTTCAAAAATCGGTTCTTAAGTCATTTTTCGGTAAATTTTAGAGGTATGTTATGTTTGGGCTTTTGCTAAAGTTGATGGACCTAAAATCATCGTTTTTTATGTTGGTTATGTGGTTAAAGTTTCAACTTGAAATGAGTTAGGTTGCTCGGAGAATTAGAACCCTAGATCGGTTCATTTTGAGCACCGAGTATTTTTTAAAACCCGTGCATATTTTCCTAAGCTATCATAGCCTAAATAGACTCTAGAGGTTATAAAGAGGCTAAAGAACCCTAGATTGCACCTGGCCATCGAGCCACCGGCCGGTTCACGAGTGAACTGCCGGTTCAGCTGAACCGGTCCAAGCAAGCCAGGGCGGTTCAAGAAATTCCAGTTCGAGTTCCGAGCAAATCGGAACTTAAACATTTTTCCGAGCCGAGTCAGTACAAGTTAAAGCAGATAAATTAGTTCCGGACTTAGAGAATTTTTCTGAGAACCCTAGAAAGCCTCAAGACAGAAAATTGTTTAACTTAGCTCGTAAACTTATTAAATCGACAAGCGGATAGAGTTGAACCAGATAATGAGTTTAAAAATGATTTTAAAACCGAGCAAGCGAACCTAGTAAGATCAGTTATTAAAGAATCAAGTTTTTCAAGTTGAGCTGAATACTTAGCATATATTCGCTTAAATATTTTTGTAGCTTAAGGAGAGTCGAGCCTCCGTCCGCTACACATCATTTCAGTTCCAGAATTGCATTCGGCTATCAGGTGGGGACCCTGTTAGTGTTATATATTAAAAGCTTGGCTTTGCATGTTATTACATATTTTCCCTCTATGAATGAGAATCATGTTAGATTAAACAAGTTCTACGTTCTGTTGTTCTGCACTTAGATAGGGTGGATCGACAACGGGCGAACCGAAGATCACTCTATCAGTTACTTGTTGATCACAACCTAGATGAACATGAACACCCCATCTGAACGGTTGTAGTGTCAACTGCACAGTTTGTCTTGACTGATTAGTTGCACTAGTACATTTATGTATTGAACAGGATCCCAGAGAGAAGAAGTTCATTTTATACTCAATCATCGTAAATGAACCAGGCCTCGGTTAATTACTGCATTCTCTAAAACCGTAAGATATTAAATAGACAGATATATGTAGTATATATTACTTTGATTCACTTGGGTGAGGTTCAGTTAACTGGATCAATATTCCTACTGTTTTGGGTAATATTATTATATAGGATGTGCTGTTAGGATATTTACGGTCACTATGTGCGTTAGTTTGACGATGTCCCCGGAGTGAGTTCATGAAGGATGCTATGCTAAACCCTGCAGATGGATTAAGTTCCGGCATAATAAGAATGATGAACGAGCGCTAGCTTCGGTGAAATAATAATAAATTAATTAATTCTTGATTGTCAGTAATCGAACTAATTAGTGGACATTGTATCTTAAACGTTTGGAGATAAATCGAGTAATTATTATTGGAGTCTCAAATGTAATTTGTGCAATAATATAATGTTGGTGGCCCATTAATATTATTTAATTAATTAGAGGAGTGGGCTTGGTCCATAGTTAGTCTAATTAATTAAGGGGCCATATTCCTAATCTCTTAAGGGTCCCTACTGTAGCTCTATATATACATCATTAAGCTCATGAGAAGAGACCCAATCTGTCATAATTCATACGACACGCCCCACGCCTCTCTCTCTCTCTAGATCTCATTCGAGCTTAATCTTCTTCTTGTTGCTCCACTGGTACAAGTTGAAGAAGGGTGTATTGAGTAATACAGTAGAAGATCTGTAGGTAAACCAAGACGAAAATCTTTTATCCTACAGAACTAACCGGAGGTTCGATTAAGAAACGAAGCATACCCAGACGACCGTCTCGACGTCAACTTTTAGTCGCCGCCGTCAGCCACCGCACACGCTCGCACGCACTGCCGGGAGATTGCTGGCTGCTAGATCTGTTGTCATCAGATTGCATCCTTTTGATCCGTTTTTCGATCTGATCTTGTTCGTGCAATCCCGAGACGTGATTTGCGGTCATCCGTTCGTGGCCAACCAGATATACGTAAATTTTAAGCCGTAAGTTCTCTACGTCAAACCTTTAGATCCGCTGCGCATAAGTTTACATTTGCTATTGAATTCGTGAC